CATGAGCAGTACTCACATAGCCTAATTAAGGTTACGCATTTAAAGTAACGACCAAGTGGCCAGCGGCAGACAGTGAGCATATGTTTGATCAATTTAGCCTTCTCAAATCATCACGACTTGACTAAAATAAAATCTATAGATATAAAACAGTTCAAGCATATAACAATTATATCAACAACAATATAACAATTTAGACGTTAAACCTAGATAAATGTGTGCTGTATCCAATAGTTTGCGCAGAGGCTTTGCAGGACATAGAGACGCCAGCGCGATCACTTGTGTTTTTTCAGTGGATACACCATCATTTTTGCTCATAAAGGTAAGAGTAATACATCATTTGTAACTGTAAAGGGTCTACTTTTATTTGTGTGCACTCACAATATCAACAAAACGTTGTGCTTTTATAAAATAAAGAAATCAAACATGATGCGCTTTCTGCCGTCTCGGTCTTGAACAGGAGCGCTTCACAAAAATGAACAGGAACTCAGCGAATACATGCCTCACAGACATTATACATATATCTATAGAAAGCTTTAAATTGCTACTTAACGAAATAAAACAAATCAAAAACAAAAACTCTTTCATTATGATCATAATCCATAAAGATGCACTTCTCTCTAAAGGCGCGTCTAATGAGGAGATGGCGAGTCAGGATCGACAACTTCATCCTTGCGACACCAACTCAGAAAACACTAGTTTATTAGTAAATAATTCAAATATCTCTTTACTGTTTCCCCCTGACGCATTTATGGTAAGTACTTTTGCCGATGCTTTGCGGCAAACTTAAGCCTATTGCGTGCATTTGAACGCAGAACTCTTCAGTTGCACCATACTGCTGCTGCGGGACACTAAACACCGTCGTAATTTCACAAAATTGGGTGTTATTTATGGGGAGTAGAATTATTTATTTATTTCAATGAATGTAATGGATTAGATATCATAATATTTAGGCTATAATATTATAAATCAGGTTGGTTTGTATTGCTGACTAATATGTAAATGATATGCGTGTGGCCCCCGAGACTTGCACTTGGACCATAGTGCGGCCCGGTGGAAAAAAAGGTTGAGAACCACTGGTGTACTACATCGATGTTTCCTGTCGGCTCAATGTTTGAGTGGACTTTGCTGTTCCGATGAGCATGAACGGTATACGAGTGGAGCAACTGAGCGTAGCACACACGCGCATAGAGCGGGATAATACGCAGAGCGTCACACCACGTGAAAGTGAAGCCTGAGCGGTGAACTCATTTTCGGCAGCCGGAATTTCGGTGCATCTCTAATTATTGGCGACATCAGAAATGGATATTATATAATAGATGCTTTTTTGAACATTTTAGCTATTTAAAAATATTAAAAAATGATTTTTTACACGGCACCCCTGCTCTTGACAGACGGCACCCCGGTTGGGAAACACTGACCTAAAGAACCTTTTGTGGAATGGAAAGATTCCATAGATGTTAAAGCTTCTTCATGGAACCATAAATACCAGTAAAGAACCTTTATTTTTAAGACTGTCTCATGAAGTGTGAGGTAACTGCTGTCAACACATATGACAGTTTCAGATTTGATGTTTGTATATGTTTAGGCCACCAGAAACATGATCAACCTGTTGCTCTGTGTTTAAAAAAATATTTTTTGATAGAAAGCACGAGCAAATCATAGTCAGACGGACACGGCCTGTTGGCCATAAAGGGGGCTGGTTGCTTTGAAAGACTAAACACTCCATATGTCAGTCCTTACCCATCCTGAACCCCTTCCCCCAAACACACACACACACACACACACACTGATTATCTCTGCTCCTTCTGTTCATACTTCTCACCACGATCCCTGTGAAGACCCTCAGCCTCTCGCTCTGCTCCTCCAATTATAAAATAACATCTCATTCAACATCAATTATGCTGCTTGTTATGAAGAAACATTTCTCTTACAGTCACTGTACTTAAAAGTATATTACTTGACGTCCGCCCAAAATAAACAGAATCAAAAACAGTCTTACTTAAAAACTTAACAACATTGAACCATGCGCAAATCCATGACCTTATCAATTCAAACTGCAGTTTAATGTGATCATACCGACAGCTTGTAAAAGTGAACAGACCAAATGAATGGCAGCTTTAAAAGAGATAGTATAACTCTCAATGTTCTGTTTATGTGAGTGAAGGGAATTAATCTCTCTAGTGTTACATACATTATAAACAAGAACAAACATTTAAAAACTAAAAGTCAATGAAAATAGCAACATTCGATCAAAAGCATTCAGAAGCTTTATGGTGTCAACAAAATGAAGCACAATTATTCTAATAGAATTAACTAAATAAAGTTCAAAATATGTTTAACTTGATGTCACACTGTAGGAAATGCCAATTACCCACAAAAAAGGTATGCATATACATTACCATTCCATACCAAACCAAAGATTTGGGGTCATTAAGATTTTTTTAAATAAGAGAATTAACATTAAATTGATCAAAAGTGACTGAAAAGACAATTATAATGTTACAAAAGACTTCTGTTTCAAATAAATGCTGTTCTTTTGAACTTTTGATTGATCAAAGAACCCTTAACTATGTTTCAGTTTCCACAAAAACCTTTGTTTTCAACACTGATAAACAGAAATGTTTCTTGAGCAGCAAAGCAGCATGTTAGAATTATTTCTGAAGACACTGAAGACTGGAGTAATGATGCTGAAAATTCAGCTTTGATCACAGAAATAAATTACATTTGAAAATAAATTCAAATAGAAAACAGCTATTTTAAATTGTAATAATATTTCACAATTTTTGCTGTATTTTTGTTCAAATAAATGCAGCCTTGGTGAGCATGAGACTTCTTTCCCCCCCAAAAAAATGTATTCAAACTGAATTAAGTCTCTAATAATATCTTGGCTAAAAATAGCAGAACTGAATTCATACCATCAAACTTTTTCTGAAGTAAAGTCAGCAGACACACAAGCTCACATTAGCATACAGCTGCGGGTGTCTGGATGAGGGAAAACTCCTGTTTCTTTGTCATTAGGGATGAACAGAGCCTCTTGTGGCAGCTGCCTAGCTGTGACCCCTGGGGGTCAGAGGTCACCGGCTGCTTTCCCACACTGCAGTCTGTATTATACAAAGTTTGGCTGTTCACAAGTGTAACACAAGTTTGTTAACTCATTCTAATAATAATAAAAACACACAAGAAATCACAATTGTACTCTTTAAATATCTCTATTTATTTATCTTAAAATAGTTTTATTTCTTCTACATAAATGTTTAAAGGAAGAAAGACTTGCGGAAGCAAAACATATGAACACTCTTTTGCTGTTAATTTAAAATACTGTCAAAATGAAACGAACAAAAATAGAGTAACAAGATTAAATTAAAGGGGAGGTGTTTTTCAAATGCAGGGGAAACCTAATAAAAACCCAAACCCCTCATATCACGTGACTTATATTGTGTTCAGTCGCACAGGTCTGTCCCTCTGTTCTCTGGATGTTGGATTATTGCTGTTTTAGGATTCTTAAATCGGTCTCGAATGACAAAACATTCCAGCAGGAAACACAAGATGCATGATTGGAGACTAAACACAGGCGAGGAGGATGATGTCGTCCTCATAATGATGTTCAGGTGCACCAGCACAATGCTATGAAATCTGAAACATAACATTTAGAAATGCTAAGAAATAAAGAGCCAGCTATGCTGCCTGGTGAGAACATTTGACAACATCAGGAATAGTTCAAATGTCATCTTTTACTCACTTCTATGTGGTTCCAAACCTGTACAACTTCATTCATGGAAAACAAAAAGAGAGAATTTAGCAGAATCACAATGTTCTCTTCCTTACAATGAAAGTTAATGGGAACTAATGCTGCTGAGCTCCAAAAACGTCAGTCTTCTAAAGCATTTCATTACACAAAAACGTAATTAAATACACTTCGTGGGAAAATATGTTTGAAAGACGTCTCTCCTGCTCATCAAGGCTGCATTTATTTGATCAAAAATACAGCAAAATCAGTAATATTATGAAATATTATTACTATTTAAAATAACTTTTCTATTTGAATATATTTGAAAATGACGCAAGGCTGAATTTTCAGCATCATTCCTCCAGTCTTCAGTGTCGCACGATCTTTCAGAAATCAGTCTAATATGCTGATTTGCTGCTCAAGAAACATTTTTGATTATTATCAATGTTGAAAACAGTTTCATTCATTTTTTCCCCCAGGATTCTTTGTTGAATAGAAAGTTCAAAAGAACATCATTTATTTGAAATAGAAATCTTTTGTAACTTTATAAATCTCTTTACTGTCACTTTCAATCAATTTAATGCAGCCCTGCAGAATAAAAGAATTAATTCCCTTTTTTAAAAAAAGTCTGAATGACCCCTTTTGAACAGTACTGTATATAGGCCATATGTATAATATGCATAAGTGAAAATGAGATTTGAGAGCTCCGGTTAAGAATATTTTCATTAAATATTGCGCTTTAAATTTGGAACAAAATGCACAAGTTGCATGAACTAGTTTAGTAGTGGTTTAATGTCACTTTTGGAGATTTACAGCATCTGTCCCCATTGATTTAGTAAATTCTACTAAACATCTTTAGTGTTCCACAGCAGAAAGTCAGTCGTACAGGTTTAGAACCACACGAGAGCGATTAAATGATGACTATTTTAGTTTCTATGTGAACTATCCCTTTAAAGTATCAGCTCCGAATGCATCTCTTTCATCCCGGAGAGAGCAGGACTGTCTCTGTGCTCTTTGCTAACACAGAAAGGACAGATACGACACAGTCTGGGAATCCCACTTTTAACTCTGAAAGGACTTCCTTTCCTTCACAGAAGCAGCCTGAACATGAGACAGCAGCTGGGATCCAGCAACTGCCGTCACTATTGAGGGCAGAGAAGACAAAAGTCTGAGAGTTTGAGAATGGAAATTGCTTGTGTTTGACTTTTTTGATAAAAAAAAAAAATCTCAGATGACATGAGAGCTAGTAAAAGAAGATAATTTTTAATTTTTGAATGAACCATCCCTTTAAATTTCTCTGCTACTATCAGTTTTCCTGCTTTGGAACTTTATTTTCCCTTTTTCAATAAGCTGTTATTCACCTCCTGTGATTGACAGAGGCAAAGGTCCAATCAGACTCTCAGAGGGGCGGGTCACAGTTTAAGGCGGGGCTAAGTGAGGCAAAATGGCCAGCTTCAGAAACGTCCTGCAGGGTTCGAGGGCGATACACAAGCTGAATAATTCACATTCAGGTAGTGAGTGCTCCTCACACACAGTGGTCTGACAAGTGACAATCGTGAGGAAGAAAAACAAAAGGAAATCTTTCTCTACATCTGATGGTAAACAGACTGAATATATTGCCAAGACTCAAAGTTAAAGGGACGGTGTACCCAGAAATGAACATTTTGTCATTATCTAGTCACCTTAATGTAATGACTTCTCTTCTGAGAAACACCAAAGGAGATGTTTTGAAGAATGTTCATGTTTCTCTTTTCCATTTAATGAAAGCATAGTGACTTCCAATCTCCATAAATGACAATAAAGCACCATAAAACTAGTCCACATGACTTTTATGCAGCTTACTTTTAATGGAAAAAATCAGCATGAATATTCTTTAAATCATCTTCTGTTTTCTAAAGCAGAAAGTAAGTCATATGGGTTTAAAAAGACATGAGGGTGAACAAATGATGACAGTTTTCATTTATTGGGTGAACCATCCCTTTAATACGCACAATTTTCAAGATGCATATTCATATTGCTCTTCGAACAAATGATTCATATATGTAACATCAAGTAAAACACAGCAAATATCAATAAATAGCTTCAGTGGTGTCTGGGATAGCATGATGCAACCATAGAAACATGTATATAAAACAAAAGTTGTGGTTAAACTGCTTTAAAAATGCAAATTAGACCCCATTTAGAACAAAAATCACTGTTTTTTCTCATCACACATTGATTGTATTCACAACAAGATACACCACAGTTCAAAAGTTGGGAATTATTCATATTTTGTAAAGAAGTCTCTTCTGCCCACCAAGGCTGTATTAATTTGATTAAAATACGGTAAAAACTGTAATATTGTAATGATTTCAAATAGCTGTTTTCTACTTGAATATGTAAAAATGTAATTTATTCCTGTGATCCAAGCTGAATTTTCAGCATCATTACTTCAGTCTTGTGTCACATGATCTTCAGAAATCATTCTAATATGCTGATTTGCTGCTCAAGAAACATTTATATCATCATCAGTGTTGAAAACAGTTGTGCTGCTTATTATTTTCATCTTTAAATGTCTTTACTGTCACCTGTAATCAATTTTATGCTGAATAAAAGTATTAATTTCTTCCTTAAAAAAATCCTTACCCCAAACTTTTGAATGGTAGTGTATCACTGTTGCTACAAATTATTACGTGGCAAAAATGGTTTAACATTAACAATAATAAGAATATTTCTTGAGCAGCAAATCAGCATATTATAAAACAGATAGTTCTGGTCCTTGATTCTGATTGGTTGAGAAGCTAAGTTAGTTCGAAGCTAAATTACTTTACTTTACTTCTGTGTGTTGCTCGGCAACCACTTTGTTGGAACCACAACTGTTTCTGAGGAACTACATTGTTTGGCGGAAGAATACAGTTTTTATTTATATCATTACACTTTATTTGCTCTGTTTTATTTTGTGAAACCTAATTACATATATGGAATAACCGTTTTATAAAAGCAATAATCCCCGTGAAGCCATGGTTTACGTAAGGGATAATCAACGGCTAGCCGTGCGTTAAAGGATTTTAAATGCACGGCGTGGAGGCAAAGAACCGCCCGACGCGAAGCGGAGTGCATTTAAAATCCTTTAACGCATGGCTAGCCGTTGATTATCCCGCTTATTCCATGGTCATTGGACAAGTTAAAACTAGTATTGCTCTTTGCAGCACAATATTTGAATGGGTAAAAATTAGTTATTTTCGTCAGTTACGGCACGTTAGCGTTAGTGTGCATCAATTAAAGCAGCGCAATAATATAGATCGGTGATTAAACTAACTTGGAACGAACTGTGCATTAAACGGTTTTACTGCATACCTGCCAGCCAATCAGAATCCAGTATTCAGACAGACCATGGAATAAAGTGAATTTATAACAGCTAAGGGGGTTTTAGGCAAAAACAACACCCCTTAGCTGTTATAAATTCACTGTAAACCACGGCTTCTTGGGGCTTATTGCTTTATTAGAATGATTTCTGAAGGATCATGTGACTCTGAAGTCTGGAGTAATGATGCTGAAAATTCAGCTTTGATCACAGAAATAAATTACATTTTACAACATATTTACATAGAAGACACTTATTTTAAATTGTAATAATATTTCACAAATATTACATTTTTTTCTATATTTTTTATCAAATAAAATCAGCCTTGATGAGCATAACTTCAAAAACATTAAAAAATCGTAATAATTCCAAACTTTTGACTGCTAGTGTATTTGAATAAGAAGTTCCATTGGCATAATAAAAGCAAGGGCCCGTTTCTATGACAATGCAAGATGTATGTAATGAACATGCTCTGAAAATCTCTAATGCTCAGGATACACACACACATTCGCACGTACGCAAATGCATTGTGAAAGCAGTATTGGGCGAGGAACACACACTCCAAGGCTTCTCCCCACACAGCAGAGCAGCATCAAACGATTGACAGTGAACACACACACGCAGAGCAGTGGGCCGCTCGCTCCGCTGAGAGTAAGACCAGCAGGTTTGCCTTTAGGTCTCGGCTAACAGCTCTTCAGCAGCTTAACAGGAAGTTACATCACAAAAACAGAGGGCTGGGGCGATTCAGCAAGCGACTCCTGAGGCCGACAGCAGGATCATGTAAGTGTGGCTGTTTTTTTCAGGGGGGCGAAGTGACTCAAAAGAAGAGAAGACGTTGAAATCTGAGGATGTGACAAAGTAAAACGTCCCTGATTTGCCATTATGAAATGACTGAAGTTTGAGGAGCGATTAAACGTTTTCGGCTGAATCTCACAAAAATGCCCCAAAATCATATTATTGATTTCGAATAGAGAAATAAACAGCATATTTTTTAGGATGATTAACATTTTCTAAATTTGACATTTTCATAAACACTCTAATGTAGAGCATCCATGATTTACTGTATTACAGAAAAAAAAAACATTGGCAAGGATAAAATTGTTTTAATATAATACATTTTTTTTTTAATTAAATAAGTACTTTTTAAAAATGACAATAACAATAAATGTCATAATTAAAAAATCTTAAAAGTACTAAAAAACGGTCTTGCTTGCTTTTGGCTAAATATAAATTCTATATTCTTGATTTTGGAGTGAAATATGACCAGTTTTTGTGAGATCAACCTGTTTACATTGAGTATTAACTTCTATAAGGAAACCCCATATATTGTTTTTAAGATTTTAACTTAGCTTTGATACCTGACTTTATCATGGGAGAACTTGGTACAGTATTTGCTCATTAACCATTACCACCCTATAAAATCTGCTGTCATTTATTCACATCGCTGTCTCACTCACAGTAGCAAATAATTCATCAGGCATATCATCAAAGTGTATCAGAAGCAAACATTGAGCAGTTTGAAGTGTTTTTCATTTAATGAAAGCATCATTCTGTGTTCTGGTTTGAGTCACTCGGCCCACCAGTCACATGTATATGAGTGTGTATCTAAGCGTGTGAGTGTATGTGAGTGTGTTTGATCACAGCAGGTATCTGTGCCGGTCTTCATCCAGTGTCAGATCCACCACCTCAGGAGGAGGAACCCAGCCGGACTGCGCCGAGACGGACGTCCACTGAGCCGGAGCTCTCTGCTTCCAGGAAGAAAGCGACTGGATCACTCCGCCGCGAGGAAACCTGGAGACCACGCTGAAAATAACAAAAACATCAGAATTCAGAGTAACTCGAAAAATGAAATAAACAGGGTTTCTGCTGGTCTTAATCCACCCTTCCACATATGAAGTCTTAAATATGAGCTCAAAGTTGTACATTCTTGGCAACAAATGCTGCATATAGTGCAAAAAATGAATAACTTACTTGGTATTTATGCCTTATTTTACAGTTCAGATATGTAAACATTCTCAAATCAAGAAAGATTTAGGCCTACTTGAGTTACAAAATGAAGATATGAAGTCTAGAGCTTTCTGAGAAACTGAACAAAATAAAGTGACTATGCTTAAAAAAAGAACATATGTGTCAAAGGGGTATTCCCTTTGAATTAAGTTCCCATGGGCAGATATTTTTTTCTTGTAATATTTTTCTCACAGGCAAATATTTGCTCTGGATTCAGGCATAAACTCAATTTTGTTTAATTTCAAAGGAAACAAGATTTCTTGTGTTATTTTATGTCTCAGGTGAGTGTATCTTGATTTAAGAATGTTATTGGAAAACAAACACTGAGAATGATATTAACTTTTTGCAGTGCATGCAACATTCGATGCCATGACTTTATGAAATAAAGACTTTCTGCTCCAATTTAATGCCTTCATTAATGAATTAATACTTTTTAAGAAAACCCTGTAAATGCAGAAAGTTCATGATACCCAACACATTAAGAAATTCTAATGAATTGATCCCTTTTGTAACGTACTAAAATTAAGTAAAATCCTATTTCCTCCTATTTCATTTAAACTGAAATCCACTTACAATAAAAATGACGTTGGAAGGGTCACTTTAAAATAAAAGAATGTTAAAAGTGCATATACAAATGGCTAGAATCAAGATCAGTTTTTTTTGCATTGGGTGTAATATAAAGCATTATACTGTATATATAGGAGCTGCAACCAGTCATTTATTTATTAATCACTTTTTATGGCTTTTGCTTCTAAAAAATAGTTGTGTGGTGTAACCAATGATTTTTAAGGATTTTTTTTATAATAGTCCAAATATTCAGTGTAGTTTCACAATTACTACAAGGTCATGATACATGATACATTCTACAAGAATTGTTGTTTAAATGTAGTTCTGTCATGACAACTCTCGGAGGGATTGGCATGGTAATGTACATGACAATGTTAATGTGTTTGGTCTTGGCGGAATAGATCTGCTATGCTGCTGCGGCGGCAGAGCAAGTACTGAGACTTGCTACTGCCAATACATCCACAATATGCTGCTGTGAGCATCTAGAGAAATTTTGCTGCTGCAAATATAACATACATGAAATAACCCCCATATAGCATACACGAATCACCTCGTAGCAGATCTATACAGGTGGAGCTGGGGAAGGTGGAGGGTTTCTGAAGCAAGCTGCAACTGCTACAGCAAACACTAGTCATATATTTGAATGTTGAGCAGTGAGCTCATTGGCTACCGATACAGGAGAGAACCAATCAGCTATGCCATGTGATAATGATGTCATCAGGTCAGAATGAGTTAGACCTATCGGACTGCGCCATCTAGAGTTTCATGCCAGAACTCTGTATTTAAACTACCAATTTATGATGTGCATGTTATTGATTACCTAGTTAGCATATGAATACTACTAAATGACTGCTGAACGACGAGGATTGGCTCACCTGGCGTTCTCTTGAACTCCAACGATCTCCACTTCACTGTCTGTGGACGCCAGACTCACCTGAGATGGCTGGACTTCTACTGCAGTGACTGCACCTACACAAACAACACACTACATTCAGCAAAACGACAAAAACCCTACAGCTTCAACATTCACTGCCATCCTCAGAATGAAATGTGAGAGAAACTGATGTAACAAGATTTTGTCAACGGAAAAGGGTGAAATTGTACAAAAATCACAAAATGTCTCTTTGGTAGTGCAAGGGATTGTGATCTAAATGCATGTATTGATGCACATTTTTGAAAGTACTACAAGTTTGCTAATCTAATATTAGTATGCGAGTTGGGACGCAGCCATTGCTTATGAATGTACAGTCAAACTACAGTAGAAACGAACCTGAGAGCGACTGCTGTTCCTGTTTGGAGTGAGTGTCTGAAATATAGTGTCCAATCACTGCAGGACCCACTGCAACACACACACACGCCGTTCAAAAGATTCGCCACCATATCTGTACGTGCATAATTCTGCTGTGCCATTTATTTATTAGTCTAATTAGTTCTAATCTATATTTCCAAATGCTGGATTAAAGATTAAAGTGAAACATTGAGTGTTTTGCTTTTAGGTTTTAACTGCATTTGCAGCATGCTGCCGACTGCCACAGATAATTTTATTATTTCCTAAATAAAAAAGGAAATTTAAACAGCATTTACATTAAATGCACAATACACATTTTGCAAGCAATAAAGCATTAACCCTCATTCTGAACAAGATATTTTGAAGAATGCTGATGGTAGGCAGTGACTATTTTCCATACTATGGAAGTCAACAGCTACCGCCAACTGTTTGGTTACCAACATACTTCAAAGTGTCTTCTTTCGTGTTCAACAGAAGAAAGAAACTCAACCAGGTTTGGAAAGAACTTGAGCGAGAGTAAATGACAGAATTTTTATTTTTGGTGAGCTATTCCTTTAATGTTATCTCATTGGACTAAATCTCACTGACTTTGCTCAAAAAACTTCCCTAAAAATTGATAATTTAGTATTTTTTTGGGACATTACACTTGCGGCGTTCACAGTCAAAAATTAACAAAAAATTGCATAGAAGTTTCTCTTTATGCTATATTATTACCAAATATCTGATTCAATCTTTTTATCAACTTTTTTTTTTTCTTAGCACAGGTTTTGTATTTCTTTTTTGAACTGCATCATTGATCTAAGCTCAGTTTTTGAGTGAATACTGACAAAATTATCCATAAATAATGCTTTGTTTCACTGGAAAAAGTGTTCAGAATCCCTTTTTTCCCCGCAATGCAACATTTTCTAAGAGAAAGAGGATATTCGACAGTAAAAATGTGTAAGGACTTTATTTTATCCATCAGGAATTGAATGTATGTCTCTCTATTATTGAAGATTTTAAGACTACAAAGACAAACTTTTTCCTTTATAGAATAATGTGCACTGATGAACTGTTCCTTATAAGACCAGGAGGATGTGTTATTAAAGTAAATATGGTCAATTTGTTTTCAAAAAATGTTCTACAAAATTATAGTCTGTGATAATAGACCCATACATGGACATTAAATGTAAACTACCTGGATAATAAGGCTATGAAATTCAGGCAAAACAGATTAATGCTGGTAAAATACTTGTATATTTATTTACTAGCTAACGACAGAGCAGATATCACACGTCAATAATGTGTTACATAGACATGAAAACACAACTGAACGTCACCTGGCACACTTTTACGCTTGGTGAGGCAGTAGTATAGGACATTAAAAATAAAGAAAACATATTTGGAACAAATAAAAATACATCTATCTCTGTTTACTCATTTCTTGGTTTCTAAGGAAGGAAGGAAATTCTGTCCTCCATCTAAAACATTATGACACTAAACTTAGTCAGCCTGGTAATTATTACACAAAAAGACATAAAAACGTAAACAATCTCCTATCAGACACTCTATACAGTAAAGCAGTACAGCAAATAGCTTTCAAGTCCTCCTGTAAGTCCGTAACTACAGTAAACCTTGACTATGAGTGTTTGTGTTAGTGTGGAGGAAGCACATGACGGGCGAATCTCATGAAATCTGGCCAGCTCATATTTCCCCCTAAAATCAAAAAGAAACAACATTAAATTATATTTGGCAATATAATTAAGCCTATCTATATGCATATTAATAATTTTGAAATTGTGACATTAACAATTAAGAAGATTTTGCTGAATTTTTTTTATCTCATTGCAGTAGCATGAAAAAAAAAATTATATATTTTCCCCAAATATTACAATATTCAAAGTAAACTATTTATATATCAGTTTTTGTTGTCTTGCATTTAATTAGATATATATATTTTTTACATTAAAAAAAAATATTGTATTATAGGATATTTCAGAAACCACAAAACAATGAGAAGCACCAACTCAAAGTAAAAACAACCGGATGCATTACAGTAATTAATGTGCATAACTGTCACTAAAATTATTTCAAAATGCATTAAAAGTTTAGGCTTTGTTGTTTTAATGTAAACATCAACGTTGGGGTAAAATACGACATGTTTTTATGGAAATCACCCTTAAATTGATACATATAGCCAAAAAAATGATCAGCATCTCTTGCTTTAGACATTGTGTCCAGAAGTAGTGGCAGAATTACCTGTTTATTGCATGTGCATCACGGACTGTTTCTATCAGTGTTTGATGTTCGTTTGTGTGTCGTAAGTTAGTATTTAGAACAAAAACCTAGGTACAGGCTGTCATTACATTACAGCTCTCTGTTGTCAGCTTATATCATGCATATTCCACTTTGGAAGAAGCGATTCAATAAGAACCTAAACCAATCCACAATGCAAACAAGAGATCTTTGGTAGACATGCCTTTTAATTAGATATATATATTTTTTACATTAAAAAAAAATATTGTATTATAGGATATTTCAGAAACCACAAAACAATGAGAAGCACCAACTCAAAGTAAAAACAACCGGATGCATTACAGTAATTAATGTGCATAACTGTCACTAAAATTATTTCAAAATGCATTAAAAGTTTAGGCTTTGTTGTTTTAATGTAAACATCAACGTTGGGGTAATATACGACATGTTTTTATGGAAATCACCCTTAAATTGATACATATAGCCAAAAAAATGATCAGCATCTCTTGCTTTAGACATTGTGTCCAGAAGTAGTGGCAGAATTACCTGTTTATTGCATGTGCATCACGGACTGTTTCTATCAGTGTTAAACCTAGGTACAGGCTGTCATTACATTACAGCTCTCTGTTGTCAGCTTATATCATGCATATTCCACTTTGGAAGAAGCGATTCAATAAGAACCTAAACCAATCCACAATGCAAACAAGAGATCTTTGGTAGACATGCCGGCCCAGATGAAGACAAAAAGACACATGGCAGTCGATGCGAAACTTCAGAATTCTCTTGTGGAAATAACGTCATGAAACAGTTCTACAGGCAAGACAAATGATTCTTTTAAATGATTCATCTCCAGGTGAGAGGAAGAAACTGGCTCTCCCAAAGAAATGGGATCGCAAAGGCACTGAGTGTGGAGGGCGGCCCTGAGATGCCAATATAAAACAACACAAAATGTTAATAGAAGACAGACACATGAAGTTAAAGAAATGGTTTAAGAAATTAATTCTTTATTTATTCATCCTCATGTTGTTCCAAACCCATATTAAATTATTTCCACTGAATGCCAAATCTGAATTTTAGAATATTCAGGCTCTTTTTTTTTTCTACAAAGGCATCTGCGTCTGTCAACCTCGAAAAATGGAGGGGAAAAAAACAGCATAAAAGCCTTCCATATAACTCTATATTTTTATTAAATATCTTTTATATTTGTATAATTCAATTAAACTTTATTTTAGCATTTCTAGAGCCAGGGATTTTATAGGCTTGTTTTCCCCGTTATGTAAAACAAAAACAAAAAAATCACCCATTTCATTTCTGATTAACTAATATATATATATATAAAAGGAAAGTTAACTGAAACAGACATCAGACATTTCTCCTTTGAATTTTGTTTACTAAAATGATATACTAAAATAAATAAACAAAAAAATATATAAAAAATGTGAACTTGTTTTATATATATATATATATATAAATAATTCTAAATGTATACACATAAAAACAAAACTACTAAAAATGACAAAAACGACAATGAAAAATATATATTTTTAAACCTGTCTGGAGCTTGACAGCCTCAGTTTCTTGTTCACTTTCATCAAATTACCACAATATTCCTCAAGAATTCACATTTTGTGTTGCATGCAAAAAGCCAAATGGGTTTAGAAAGGCATGAGGATGAATAAATGTTCCATTTGTAGGAAAACTGATCCTTTAATAGAGAGAAAGAGATAGATGTGGAAGCCAGAATGAAGATGAATTTAGTAAGAGATAAAGAGAAAGTTTGTGCACTGTCCTAAGCCTCCACTTCAGCGGTCGAATTGAGTCGGCACAGTTGTGTTGCGTCAATGTTCTTTAAACGTTCGGTTCAGATGGCTCTGCGCTTCCATTGACACCGGCAGTCTGAGGCGGTGGAACTGTGATGGCGCTGAGTCGAGCCATCTGATAGGCCGCCAGTGTTTCCTGCGACTCCGACGATGGCAGGAACGAGCTAACGTGGCTCCGCCCCTCTTGATTTTCGCTGGACGAAAGGTCATCGTCTGAATGCAGGCGGGTCAGTCTGTCCATCCACACACGAAAGCGCTCCTCGGTCTGTCTCTGCATCGCGGCAAATCGTGTAAGAGCTTCCTCCAAGACACCGCCCAGGGTTCCGCTGGCCACGCCCATGTTGAGTTGGCCCCGCCCACGCGCTGATGCTCCGGAAGCGTCGGCTCGACGATGGCCAGCTTAAAGACAGACGGCAGTGCCGAGAGAGAGACGTCAGACACACAGGAAGGCAGAAAGCTGCGGCGTTATTGCGTGCACACCGGCGAGCATGCTGGGACAATCATGCAGCTCTCGCAGTGCATTCTGGGTACAGTTCACCAATGGTCACATGCCTAAAGATGGCTTAAAGATCACACAGTGAAGAAGATCCCAGCTTTTTAACCATTTTAACACCAACCAACCCTCAGAATATTACATGTGAAGAAATAAAGACAGACTTGTAACAACTAAAGAGATATCTGAAAAACTAGTCAACTACTACTGCATCATTATGCTTGTTCAGAGACATATCAGAGAGCAGATGAATTTTTTAACAATAAATGCCATCCTGAGAGATAATCAATGAATAAAAAGGCTAATCAACAGGATATTACGCAAACCTAATCAAAGACCTCACGAATTATGCATAATAACAGGAATGTTAGGAAGATGATTTTACAAGCGCTAGCTATTTTTTAAGGTGGTGAATGTGTACAAAAGAAGAGCTTAAAAGACGAGGATGAACTTAGAGGCATAACTTCAGGGGAAAATACCTTAGAGACACTGCTTGTGTTGTTATCGATATCTAAAACTATTAAAAAACGGATTTTGTTAACTAAAATAAAGCTGAAATAAAATCATACATAAATAATACTTAAATATTAGATGAAAAACTTAATGTAACTTGGAAATGTTGCCTTGACAATTAACTGAAATAAAATGTTGAAGATAAAATTACTAACAATACTAAACGTAAAACTGAAATTAAAGCTATACAGAAATAACAATTAATAATGACAAAAGCACATAAAATTACTAAAACTAAAAATAAAACAAAAACACAAGCAAATTCAAAATTGAAATGAAAACAGAAAAATACAAAAATTTAAAATAAATTTAATTTAAATAAAAAGCCAAATATTAAAAATAAAAGCTAATCCAAAATATGAATACTACAGTACTATATAGTAGTTATAATACTAAAATAACACTGCTGCAAAAGCATCTGATTTAAAAAAAGAAAAAAGAAAAAAAAAAGCTAAGACTTAAAACTGGAACTACCAAACAGGCCTTAAAACTATATAAATCTGCACAACTAATATTACAATATAAAGTTATGATATGCTCCACAAACAATCACATATACTGAGATTCAACTCCTGCCATGCCAACAATGTGGCCCCAAAAACACCCCCTGGTGGTCCCACAAGGACATGATGCATATCCTAACTAACAAGTATATGTAGAAGAATAAATCAACAAAAAACTGCAGACACATTACACACACACACAAGCCACAGATATAGGACACAAAGACAACAGATACTGAGGCAACTGAAAGACAAGTCAGAATGAAGAAAATCTTCAGATATTCTATTGCAAATCTTTCATTAAATACCTGGTATAATTTACCTCCAATTAGGGATGTAACAACGTACCGGTTTTACGATAAATCACGATAAAATGCCCTGACGGTTAGTATTACCGTTTAAAATTTAATTATCATCAAAACCGTGTTTGATTATCGCAATTTTGAAAACTCGCGATAAATCCTGTCCAGCCAGCATCAGTCTGACGCAGAAGCAGCATGCAGTGTTGTTGTTGTTGTTTTTTGCACGAGACGAAATGGCGGAAGGCAGTGACAGCGCTCGGGAGATTTTTCAGCCATCTAAGAGAACCAAATCGGTGGTCTGGTCGTATTTTGGCTTTTACAAGAGTCCTGAAGGCAATTTAATCGAGGACGGTCACCCTGTCTGCCGATCTTGCAAGAAGAAAGTCGCTGCAAAAGGGGCAAACGTGTCAAATTTGCTCAGCCATCTTCGTGACCACCACCCACTGTTAGGCTATATAGCGAATGCAAGGTAACTTTTACCTAGGTATCAAAACTAACTGGGCAAATAATTGGACAAAAAATATTGATTAGAGATTAAATATTTCGTTATCTCACTTGTTTAACGCAAAGCTTCCGCGAAGAAAAGTTCGCAGCAAGTG